CCTCTTCACCTCATCCCCAATATACACACACACACAAAAGTAATTATATTTTTGTGGCTCTGACTGAAAAAAAGAAATGGACATGGTTTGATGGTGATGTTAGGTGCCATCAAGTCAACTCTGAGTCATTGTCAGAGTTGAAACCATGTCCAACCCCGCACAACCCTCACAGTCTCTGCAGTGCTAAGTCCAGAGTCTGGGTGAAGTAGGGATGGATGCATAGCAGACATGGTCCACGACCTGCAGGGTCATTGGGCATCTCTTGACTATTTCCGCTGGTGAACTCTTAAGGCCCATCTCTGCCCCAGACCCTTCTGAATAGTTTTGCTTCATTTTTTTCCCTTTCTCTCTTCAGTTTCTTTCCTTTTTTCTCCACTCATCTTAGCAAACAAACTAAAATACTGGCAGTCTGAACCAATAAGTGCCTCAGAAAATTGGCCTGCTCCCCTGCTTTGAAAGATCACAGCCATGAAGCTCAGTGACCTCTGAAACATGAGGTCATCATGAGCTGGGACTGGCTTGAGGGTCACAACAACATCAAGCAAGCAAAAGTGTCGAGGAGATGCCAAGACTGACAGAATAGTCTGCACTGGAGAGAATTTTGAAGGTTGTTGAAGTTTAGGTATTTGGGCAACTGGCAGGTTCTTGGGACAAAGTGAACTAGAGAAGGTGAGCAGTTATGGACTGCCTTTAACAAAAGAGGTACATTTGATCACACAGGAAAGAGATGGTTTTGGTTTAAAGGTATTCGGAAGTCATTTGTTCCCAAAGGCCTCCAGTTATTTTCTGCACAGAAATGCTTTGGGAGATGTGTGTAGCCTTCTCATTTGTCTCTAAGGCTCCATCTTTCCTCCAGCCATCATTGTTTACCTCACTTACGCTGTCTTCACACACTCACCACTCACATTTTTTTCTTTTTTTTTGTTGTTGTTGTTTTCTTACCACTCACATTTTTGATGGAGTGCCGGCTGCATTGTTGGTGCTGCATCAGGCTCAGGGAATTCAGGGATGGGTGAGGCAAGGTCCCTGACCTCCTGGAGCCCCTGTCCAGTTGGGGAGGTGGATGGTTATTGTGTTGTGATACAGTGTGATAGATGCTGAGATGGAGATTTATCATTCATGTGGTTGGGAGTACATTAAGTGGGGCTTCCTTGCCTCGGCTAGAGGAACAGCAAAGGAAGGCTCCACTCCCTGAGAGGAGCATGCTTTCAGCCTCCAGATGAATTCCTTTTAGAATGCAAATTCTTGAAGGCAAAATTATAATCTTACCCTGTTTATGAAGCTCAGGTCCTTGGGTCCTCCAAACAGCTAAAGTGCTTACCTGCTAGTTAAAAATCTTGGATGTTGAATAAAGTCCACCCAAAGTTGCTTTGAGGGAAATGTGTAGATTCTAGTAATCTATTTCTGAAAAATAAAACTACTGAAAACTCATTGGGATGAGGGGCAACCCTACAGAGCCAATTCTACTCTGAAATCCTTGAAGACACCATGAATCGAAACTCCCTCACATGACACCTAGTAATGACTCAGCTTAACTTTCTTTCTTGTAGGGAATCTTTGTATGATTGTGTCAGTCCAATAAGATCTGTATGCCCTCTGAGGTCTCATAACCCTGAGAAATCAAATTGCACTCTTCAGAGCCTGAAAAAGTGTGTGTGTGTGAGTGTGTGTGGTGCATTCCTGCCTCTGAAGCTATAAGCACAGCCAAATCCTTTCTCAACGGTGTCCAGTTTTATTCCTGCATAATAAAGAACTCAATGGTTTGACTTGTGCATGCTACTTCAGGGGCCTCTCTTATCAAAGGATAGAAGCCAAGTAAGATCCAGTGAGATAGAATCTACACTCTAGTAATTAAACATGGCTATGGTCAAAACCACAAAGTGAGGAGGACTTGAAGTGCTTGCTGCAGAAGATTAAAGACTATGGCCTTCAATATGAATTGCATCTCTTTTTTTATTATTATTTTGTGTGTGTGTGTGCATGTACTGTCAAATCAGATCTGACTAGTACAGGAGGAGATTGTCCCTCCTTTTCCCGGCAGAGCATCTGGTGGATTTGAACCATGTGCCTCTGGGATTGCAGTGCAGCTTCTTGCCACTAGGCCACCAGAGCTCCCCATGAATTGCATCTCAATGTCAAGAAAACAAAAATTCTCACCATTGGACTAATAGGCAACATCATGATAGATAGGGAGAAGATTAAAGAAGATTTTCAACAACTTCATCTTACTTGGTTCCACGATCAATACACTTGGCACCAGTAGTTAGGAGATCCAGAGAAATTATTGATTGCAATGGGAAAGTCTGCAGTCTGAATTATTGAGGAGCAATGATGTTAGTTGAACTAAAGTGTGCCTGATTCAGACCATGGTCTTTTCAGTCATGGTCTCAGATTCTGTGCATCTGTGAACTGGCCAGTGAATAAGGATGACAGATGAAGAATTGATGCCTTTGAACTGTGGTGTTGGAGAAGTGTACCGGATGTCCCACGGACCGCCAAAACAGAATAAACAGATATGTCTTGGAGAAGGTGCAGCCAGAGTGCCTCTTAAGCAAAGATGATAAAACTTCATCTCACATGAACTTTGGACATGTTGCTAGGAAAGGCTATTCCATGGAGAGGGACATCATACTTGGCAAAGAGAGGAAGATCATCAACCAAATGGATCAGCACAGTGACTGCAGCAGGGGCTGTATGTCAGGGTGTGTGAGGATGGCACAGGATAGTACAAGGTTTTGATCTGTTGTTCATAGGCTCGCTATGGGTTGTACTCAACTCGACGGCACCTAACAACAACGGTCAAAACACCACAAGCAAAATTAAAAGGCAAATGAGAAATGGAGGAAAATATTTGCAGAAAAGGATAAATATTACAATCCTCAACAAATTATTTATACAAATCAACAAGAAAAACATGAAGATCATGACAGATAGAAAGTTCAGAGATGAGATTCTAGTGGGCAATGGAGTGGAGGGGGGGAAGTTCACTATGCCACCAAGCAGTACAAATTAAAAGAACTTAACATGACATCTTAAATTTGCAAAAGTGAGAAATAGGGCTTGGAGGTAGGAACCCAGAAACCTATGTACAGAAGACCATGTTAGTGAGTCTTCTGGATTACAGTCCCTGAATAGCACTACGTAAGTCGATCTAAAGATCCTGAAAAACATTCACTCTTACTCCATTTACTTAACTTTGAGAAGAATGTCTTCCAGGAATGGACAGTGACACAAGGAATTTCTCATAAAATTATATTAAGGAACAAAAGCAGGATACACAAACACCCTGAGGGAATGAGTTGCTAGTTCTAGAGCCTCAGGACCATAACTTTAGAGGGCATTAAATTAGCATAACATAGTCCACAAAACATCCCACTTTGCTGAGTAGTAACTGGGGTCCTAAAAGCTTTTGAGTGCCATCTAAGGTATGAATATTGGTCTCTCCTTGGAACAAAGGAAAGCAAAGAAAATCTAAGCTGCACAGAAACAATTAGTAAAGGACCAGTGGACCACATGAATTTCAACCTCCACTACCCCTGAGACAAGAAGAACTGGCTGTGGCTCAACTTTTAGTGAACAACAGACATGTTCAGAGGTGAGCAAAGAGTACTCCTTAGGGGGGAAAATCAATCATACAAGATCAATATTTTCCCAGAGAGAGAAATTCAGAAGGCAGGAAAAGGTAAAACTGACAGATGAATGAAAACAAGAATCACAAGAAAGAAATAGGAAGAGTGCAATTACAAAGTGGGGACTGTAATTAACGCCATAAAACAAAATCTGTATGAATGATAGAGTGAAAAAATCAATGATTCCGAACACTTTCACTCAAAGTGCAATTAAAAAAGATAAAAAAAGGAAATCAGAGCACAAAACGTATATACTATATAACCCTACTTACAAATATTACAAACTTAGGAATAAATTTTTTTCTTGGACTATTTGGGGAAATCTTTTTCTTACAAGACATTTTAATCAGACTTTCCCCTCTATATTTAAAAAATCTTCTACAATGACTCTGAAAAATAAAGGCGAGGGGACATCCTGTGAAATTAAAATGATAGAACCAAAAAAACCCCAGAAGTTAGCCTTGGACATCAAAGGGTCAAAACATTAGCCTCGCATGTTGCTTTGTAAGACTTGGTAAACATGTTGTGTGCCCCAAGACCTTTGAGGACAGAGTGCAACAGCCCAGATGTCTGCGCTTGGGCTGGTGCTGTGGATGAGATCACCTGCCTTTGCCCGAGTGATACTTAACAGGGCCTGTCCTCTGATGAGTCGGCTTCCTCATTGGTACATTGATATGGGAGGGACGGTTCAGACCTAACCAGCTGCTATTCAGTTCTTGAAGAAAGGAACATTGTTGATATTCCCCAGTTGTTGAGTATGACCTGGAGTTAGGACTTGGGGCCTGGTCAGGATCTGTAGACTCTAGGTTCCAACTCCTGGTCTTTTGAGGGACCTTGTTACTTATCCCTGATTGCCCCGCTTCCTTTTCCCTGGAAACCCCTGAGCCCACTCTTTTGGGGCCAGTGTGACAGCTCTATTGATTCCAAGCCTGCTCCTTCTAAGGGAACCTTATTTTTTTGTTCTTTAGTGGCAGTAACCTCAAGGCCGTGGGGAGGGAGCAATGTCTCGTTCCTGTGTGCTCTGGGATATTTTTGAGATGATTTGCCTTCTGGGCAGAACAGCCCTGACTGTCTGAAGCAGCCTGAGGCTACTTCCTGGTGTGGGGGTTGACCTGACCACAGTCCCCCCCACTCCCCTTGTCAGTCACATCAGTTCCTCAGCTTTGATAAGGTTTACTATGCATGGCCTCCTTTCCCAGAACAGGACGGTTTAAAATAATGTTGCCAGGACACCTCAGAAACTTTTGCTTTCACTAGTGAGCAATTCTCCCCTTGTGCCTCCTCAAGGGTGGGGCCGGAGGCCCAGTTGCCTGGTTTAACAGCGGCCGGGCGCCCTGGATGAAGTCTCTGCTAATGTTCCTTCTGGTCCAGGTGCAGGCTGTGTGAGGCTCTCCCACCTCTGCCGGCTGCGCTGCAAGCTGCAGCCTCTCCAGACTGTGACTTCTTTCTTCTCCAGCCTCATCCTGAAAAGCAAGACCAGTCTTGGGTGGGAGCAGCAGCAAGCTGCCTTGTGCATGGTGGGCCTGGTGGGGCTGGGTATCCTATCAAGCTGCTTTCCTGATGCAAACCTGTGTCTCCCTAGCAAGGAACAAATGCATGGAAAGACAGCTTCTCTGAAGAGCCTTGTGGCCTCCTCCGAGAAATTAGAGAGGATTCAGGAAACCCCAGACTACAGGTGAGCCCCCTGGGGTCAGACAGATATACAGATTTGGGGATGGGATGCCTTCAGGAGGTGGGCTCAGGGATCAGCATCCCATGGCAGGTGTGTCTTGGGGCCTCTTCTTCCCACCCATCTGGCCTGCTAGTGCACTGGGACCTCCCGGAGCCCAGGCTTCTCGGGTTACCAGCCTCCTCCCTACCCACCTGTGCTTGTGCCAACCCCTCCTTCTCAGCCTTGTAGCTTTCCTCAGGTCTGGTGACTTTGGAGCTCTTCACTGTCCAGCTTCAGGTCACAGGGACAAGAGGCTGTGAAGAGGGTGGTCCTGCTGGGATCCTGGGCTGTGACCAGGCCTCTAACACCTTCACCCTACCCATTCTCTAGCCTCACCTCCATCCCTGCACCTCTTTCTCATTTATTCTTGGGCCTATCCTACTGCATAGTCAGGCAAATAAGAGAGGGTCTAACACCCAACAGGAGGCAGCCCCAAAGCGTCTCTGGGACATGGCTCCTAGGATGTGGCTCTCAGGGACCCTAGTGCCCCTCCCCAGGGATGAGCCATCTGCTCCCTGGGCTTGGTGTCACTGTGGACCCTAAATGAGAGCGCCAGACTCCAGACTTTGCCCCAAGTTTCAAAGCCAGGCAGAACTGGCTCTGTAGACACGTGGGCAGGACTAGAAGGTTCCAGGTTCCTGGAATGGAATGTCTCCTTTGCAGTCTGCCTTGGCCTGAAAGCTTGAAGGATGAAGAGATAAAGAAGTACAGTCGGGAAGGGGTAAGTGTGTGAAGGCCGACTTCCTCCTGCCCACCAAGGGAGGGGTCCTGGGCTGCCTAAACTCAGTGACTTGGGTCACCAGGAAACAGTCTCATAGAGACCTGAGTAGGTCTCCTCTCCTGGGCTGGGGTGGTACATCCCCCTCCAGTCACAGGCTGCCTGTCCTGACCCAGTGTCCTGAGACCAGCTGAGCTTGGAACTCAGCCCTCCATACCCACTGGCTGTTTGATGCTAAGTCCTTGGGGGACTTTGGGGCGTTATTCCTTGGTGGCTGGAGCAAGGCTCCTTTGGTGGTGTGATCTCCAGAGCTTCTCAGACCCAGCCCATGTGTTTACAGACATTGCAGAGCAAAAGCAATCAGCAGTACCACAAGCTGTTCAAGGATATCCCTTTGGAAGAGGTAGTGCTCAAAGGTGAGGCATCTCATGTGACTGGGCAGCCCTCGTGGTGCTCAGCAGGGCCCAGGTCTTCTCTTCTAGAACCTCCAGGCACAACTTAGAGTCAGGAACTGGCTGCCCTTTGGATGGATTGGCTCTTTTTTAAATTCAGAAGTGTGAGAAGACTGGGCTGGTTTGGGATATGAGTTTGTTTCTGAAAATTTTCTGGGGGAAATGTCAGGCCTTGTGGATCTTGGGTTTGTTCTGCTTTCATGAACAATGCTCTTTCTTGCTCAAGCCTCTGATCTAGCCTGGGGATACAGTCAGGGACTTCTCCTCAGGGCTGGCCAGGGCAGGCCAGGGCTGATGGTTCTCCCTGAGGTAGTGCCAATCCAAGCCAGGCTTGGTAGACAAAGGTAGGAATCTGTCTAGACCTTTTGGGACGCAGGTGGAAAAAAGAGGAAATATCTGGTTGGGTGGGGTGGGGCAATCAGAATTCTCAGGAGATAGGCTCATGAGGGTGCTGAGGGGAGTGGACTATTTGCGGCCTAGGTTTGGGAAGGGAAGGAGCAGTGAAGGACAGGTCCTGAAGCTGGATTCTGGTGTGTGAAATGTCCCAGGCATTTCGGGCTGACCTTGCTTATGGTTGCCTTCTCTTCTTTGACTTTCCAGCATGCTCCTGTGCCCTCCAGAGGGATCTCCTTCTCCAAGGCCGGCTCTACATCTCCCCCAACTGGCTTTGCTTTCATGCCAGCCTCTTTGGCAAGGATATCAAGGTAGTAATGAGTGGTAAAGCTGCCATTGCCCGGTGAGGTCAGAGACCCTTGTCAAGTTGTCTGCTCCTCTGCATCATAGGACTTGGTGAAGCCTCTCGTGGTGGGATGAGCACTCTCAAGTGTCTAGAGATGCAGCCCTGCCCTTCCAAACTGGCAGCCTAATCTAGACCCCACTAGCCAGTTCACAACCAAGTTATTCCACTTGTGGGTATCTCAGGAATACATGGAGAATCAGTGTGAAAAGTCACTTTCAGGGCACTTATAACTGTAGCTGAGAAGTAGCTCAGGAAACCTCATAAGAAGAACATGGGACTTACCAGAGCAACCATCCTTCCCTTACTGGGTAACAGTGTGTATGCATGCATGTGCTACCAAGGCTGGGGTGGGGATAACCAGAGGGGGAGCCTTGATGAGCAGGTGGAGGGTCAGATCCTCCCCCCATGGCACCAGCCTTCTCCAGTGTCCATGGTTGGCGCACTGCCAGCGATGGCTGGGGCCCGGTGGAGAGGGTGGATGGACCATGTCCCTGGGGTCATAGGTCTTGAGAAGAATATGCCTGTTCCCCTTCAGGTGGTCATTCCTGTTTTATCTGTGCAAATGATCAAAAAACACAAGATGGCACGACTTCTTCCCAATGGACTGGCCATCACCACAAATACCAGCCAGAAGGTGAGTGGACACATTGGCCAGAGCTCCCCTTGTCACCCTCCCCATCTCGGCCCCAAGAATTCCATAGGCTGACTCTGGCACACTGACTCTAGCCTTTACTTCTCCTTGCCCTACACCTCTCCCTGTAAGAAGCTGTTCCTAGGCAGTGTCCCTTAGACCTCTCACAGCCCTGTGATATCCCTGTGGCCCCGAACCATGGCGGGGAGGCTGCTGGCACAGCAGGGTCTCATCTCACCCTACCTTTTGTTTTGCTTTCTTTGTCCCAGTATATCTTTGTGTCCATGCTCTCGCGGGACAGCGTGTACGATATGCTGCGGAGGGTCTGCACCCACCTGCAGGTAGGGAGCGCAGGCGTTGGGCCAGGCAGGCTTGAGTCACAGCTGTTAGAGGCTATCTGGCCGTTTCTCCAGCACTGGCTGCTGAGCACTGTGTCTGAGGCAGCACTTGGACTTTGTGTGCATGAGCATGTGCCAATGAGTCATTGCATCCTCATGTGCCTGCTCTCACTGTGATTCCTCAAAGCACAGACACACGGGAGCATGTCCCAAAGTACTCTGTAACTCTCTCCAGCCTATGGTGACCAAGAAGAGGAGGGTGGAGGAAGCAACATGGGAGGGTTCCTTGGATTTTCCCTCTGCTTCAACATTAACCTCTGGGAATGATGCTCTGACACCAAGGAGTGGCTTATTTGGAGACAAAGCTGGTGGCCTAATGAGTATGACATTGTGCTGTCAACCTGAAAGCAAGTGGTTTGAATCCAGCAGCTGCTCCATGGGAGAAAGATGGGCAGTCTCCTCCCATGCGATTACAGCCTCTGAAAACCTGCTTGAGAGTCACCCAGGGTTTGGGTCTGACCCCAACACAGCACATGACGACAACAACAATGGCTCCCTATGCCAGATGGACAAGTGACTCTGTTACCTTTGCTCCCCAGCCTTCCAGCAAGAAGAGTCTGAGTGTGAGAGAGTTTCCGGAGGAGCCTGAGTGCGAGTCTTTGGTGAGAGCTGAGACCAGGAGCGAGAGCTACTATGGCTCAGAGGTGGGAGGGCTCCCAAGGGAGAATTGGGGCACCAGGCTCAGGGCCTTGTAGCTGTGTTGTCCTGGGCGGATACCCTGGACCCCTTCCACTTTATTCTATGTAGAACTACGAGGTCTCGGACAGATTTGCTGACTTTTTGAGCAGAATGGATGTCCAGCTATACGACCCTTGCCCAGGTTGGATCCCATTCACAGATGGACTCAGCTTCTTTTCTTTAACTGTGTTAGAAGGACCTTCTAGAAGATAGGGGATGCTTCTTAGGAAAAACTCCAAAGGCTGTCACTGGAAAATCTAGGCCAATTCTAGATTTACCAGGGTCTCAGGGACTGACTTTGGTAGCTTAGCCCCTAGAAAGGCATGGCCGAGCTTCCCAAATAAGGAGTGGGCATGGAGATGACCTTAAAGTAACTACTAAGCATCTAGCCGAGCACTTAACAGTGCACACCACCATGCAGTGGCTAGAAGGTGCTGTTCCCATTTTGTTGATAAGGACCTGAAGGCCCTTTGCCTAGGCTGTGGATTGCTTAGGTTAGAGCCGGGATGAGAAGGAATCATGACACAATCCATCTAAGACCTATTGTGCCATGCTCCCTCGTACTCTGCTGATTCCAGCATGCACCTGAGGTGGATCATGTCTCAAAGTTATCACTGTGGCTCTACACTAGCTGTCTTCAATAGTGTTGTTTCCTGGGATCACGATGTGGTAGGTGAGACTGAGGGTGAAGTAGTAAGCTAGGGGTGATAGGAAAGAAGGAAGTCCTTACCAAACTCTACAACTTTCTCTGGGTTCTGTCCAGACTTCAGGGTAGGGCGTGGCACTGGCTGGTATCACTGTAATTAACATCAAACACATGGCCCTTCAGTCTCTTATCTCTTTACATCTTGAGAACAAATGAAGTGAGCTCACTCTTACTCACGCTTCTCCTGCCCAGGTGTCAAGAGGTGTGTTGATTGCACAGCGAGCAGGGCATACAGGGGCTGAAGAGAAACAGGGAGCTCCTTGGAGAAGACCCTGCACCTTGCTTCTGGCAGGATGCCGGGAGCAGGAGCAGTGGGCAGAGTGGCTGGCTGGTCACAGCAGGGAGCAGATGGGAGACATTGTTGTTCTAGCAATAGTTCCCTGCTCCTGGGTACTCACTTCCATTCCCAGCTAGGCATGTGGATTGGTAACTTTTGAAAAGCTTATTTTTATTAAATGTACGTGCAAACATAAAACTAGGTTCTAATTTTACCCCTGTAAAACAAAAATGGAAATAAAAACTACTACAGAGGCAATGCTGTATGTAACACACCATTGAGTTCATTCTTAACTCAGGTGACCCTCCCTATATGATAGAGGAAAACTGCTCCCATAGGGCTTCTGAGGCTGTGTTCTTTTTAGGTTTCAAAAGTTTCCACATGTACAATTTACAGACAATGGTTACATTCTTGGAGTTGTGCAATTATTTTCATTCTCCTTTTCAAAGTTGTTTTCCCCCCATTACCATAAAATCGCTGTTGGTAAGACCCTTTTTATAAGACTCTTATCTTTATCTGAGTTGCAGTTGTGGTTTGATCCCATGTAGATTGTTCTTAAATGAAGATAATGTTCAAGGCTTTTTTTTTTTTAAGTTGGCTGTTGCTATAAGTCAGAACCCTCCAGGGGGTTTTCAGAGGCAGTAAATCGCATGGAGATTGCCCATCTTTCTCCTGTGGCGCAGCTGGTGTGGGTTTGAACTGCCTGCCTTTGGTTTGGCAGCATAATTCCTTAGCATAAACCACTAGAACTCCTTAGTCCTGTTATTTCTACCTTTTTGCCTACTGTAAATATGGCTGCAAGGAAATCTGCTGTACAAATATCTTTTTGAGTTTCTGCTTTTCAGTTTTTTTCCCCTCTTCTTTTCTTTTATTGAGAGTTTAATGAAAGTTTATAAAGCACTTGGGTTTCCAGTCGTTCATTGTTGCACATTTTCCTCCCTGCCCCGCTCTGCCCCAGATTGCTTTTTTTCCTTTGGGAAACCTAGGAAAGGAAGAGGCTATTCTTTGGAAAGTGACATCATGCTTGGAAAGGTGGAGGGTCAGAGCAAGAGAGCAAGACCCTCAGTGAGATGGATTGACACAGTTGACTGCAGCAATGGGCCCAAGTGTGCCAGAGATGATGAGGACGGCACAGGACAGGACAGGGTCCAGATCTGTTGTTCACTGGGTCACTATGAGTCATATTCAACAGCACCTAACATCAACAATATAGCTCTTTTAATCTAGAAATTCCTTTTCCATTCCTTTCTCTCGTAATTTATGAGTTACACTCGACTCAGTGGCACATAACAACATCATAGTTCTATCTTTAGTTTTTGAGGAACTACAACAGCTATATAATTTGGCATTCCCACCAGTTGTGAATAAGGGTTCCAATTGCTCTACATCTTTGTCAGCATGTGATTTTTTTGTGAGTTGTTTTTTTCTTTCCCAACTCTTCGCCATCCTGGTGGGAGTGTAATAGTATTTCCTTCTGGTTCTAATTTTCACCTTTCTGATGGCAGACACTGAGGACTTTTGGATGTTTGGTAGCCATTTGGACGTCTTCTGGTAAAATATCTAGTCAAGTCTTTTGTCCACTTTATGAATAGATTGTCTTTTTGTTGTGAAACTGAAGCTTGTGATACATTTTGGTTATTAGATTCTTGTCCAATATATGGTTTTTGAAAGTATTTTCTAGGTTGGTAATGTCTTTTTAATTTTTAGTAAACTTTTTTGATAAGTAGAGAATTTAAATTTTTATGAATCCCATGATCATGTTTTTACTTTTTAAAAAATGTATTTTATTATATTGTGTGTGTGTACCGTCAAATAGGATCTGACTGGTACAGGAGGAGATTGTCCCTCCTTCTCCAGCAGAGCATCTGGTGGAATTGAACTGCGTACCTCTGGGACTGCAGTGCAGCTTCTTGCAACTAGGCCACTAGAGCTCCCTTGTGTTTGTACTTTTTCTAAAAGTCCAGTAGACAATCTATTGCTATAAGTGATAGTGTTGCCCCTGTATTTTAAGAGTTTTATTTTGCATATTTAGGGCTTTATCTATTTTTAATTTGTTCTTGTGTGTGATGTGAGGCAAGGCACTTGCTTAATTTTCCTGCATGTGGAAATCTGATTTTCCAAGCACAGTTTCTTGAAGAAACCTTCTGTACACACACACTCACACATACACACACACACACACACGAAACCTTCTCTACACAATGAATAGACGTGGCACTTTTGTCAAAAGTCAGTTGGCCATAGAAACATGAGTAAACAGAGGTTTGAAAAATACGGTTCATGCCCCTTATGGCGTGTAAGATCCTAAGGAGTATAATGGGAAGCTTCTCTCACTTTTTCTGCAGGAAGTCCTCATTCCTGAGATGAAATGGAGAAAAGTATGCCATGCCTCTAGGTCCCTGTCCCTCCCAGACAACATCCCTTGCATCCCTCGGGAATCCATGGATGCCACAGACAACTTCTTCTCCACTAGGAAGCCCCCAGGGGCTGGTGAGTTCAAAGGAGCTTGTCCATGGCAAGGAATCCCTGGGTGATGCAAATGGTTACATCTGGGACTACTCACTGGAGGGCTGACGGTTCATACAAGGGTGACACCTTGAAAGAAACGCCTGCAGTTTGCTTCTGAAATGCCACAGCCTTGAGAGCCTTATGGAGCAGGTGTGTTCTGCACATGGTGTCGTCAGTGCTGGAACTGGCTCCACAGCAACTCGTTTGGTTGTGGTTCTCTATGGCAACAGCTTACAGAGACAAGGCTTTCTCCCTCCCTGCTCTGGGAAAGGGCCTCATCTCAGCCAGCAGGGTTTGTGAGAGCAATGACTTTTCTGCAAATCCTTTAGGGGAAAGTCAGGAATTCAAGATTGCCCTGGCAGCTGCAGGAAACCAGGGGAGGCTGGGGTATACCCAGGCTGGGCTGGGGTCCTCCCTGCCCTGGGAGGCTGGCTAACTGCTCTTCCATTGCAGAGAACACGGTCTGTGAGGCGGACAGCCTGGAGGAGGAGCACAGGAGCAACGAAGAGCTGAGGCTTTGGGATTACAGGCTCCTTAAGGTCTTCTTTGTGCTGTAGGTGAAGAAACTGGGACAGAGGGAAGCCTTGCTTGGGTGTCTAGGTGTCGGGAGCAGGGGTTTTGACCATTACGCACAGCCAAGGGAAGATTTTGAGTCATCTGCAATGAAAAGCAGATTTGGGAACTAGCTGTGGGATTCTGTACACTAAGCTTCGGTAATCACTTAAATGGAAAATAAAAAAGAAGAAAATCAACTTGCTCCTTGTGGTGACTGCAGGCCAAACTATAGGCACTTCCATAGCAAGAGAAACTTTCTTGGCTTTTGTTTTTGACACCCTGTAAGTTGGGAGTTAAGGCCAGAAGGGGGGAAAGAGCAGTATATGCAATGCAGTTATTGAGAGAAGTTGCTGCATGGGTTTGGGGTGGGCTGTGCTCTTCCATGGGGTGTGCTATAATTCACATTAACTTTGTGTGACATCTGAAGAAATTCTGAATCCTGGGCTTTGCCTCTTGCTTTTCATTTTTCCTTAATCTCTTAGCAAAATGTCAAACCATATGTGCAGTTTTCAAGGGGAATGATTTTTCTCCATGCTGGTTCTAGAGAGATCATCATTGCCCAGGTAGTGAGGGGACAGGGCAGAACTGCAGAGAGCCATCAGAAAGCTCAGGATGAAACACTGACTGCAGGAGAAGCATGGCCTTCTTGCTGCCCACCATGAGGACAGTGTCTAGAAACCCTGATTATCTGCCTAAGTTCCAGGAGGGTTGCAGGCATGGTGAGGTAGTTCATGAACAACTGTACAACCTTCTCTCCCCTTCCCTCAGTAGCTTCTTCTGCCTTGGCTGGCTGGGTTTTGACGGTCGGGCTCGGTACTTGCTGGGGTATCTACCTCAGGGAGTGATTTCTGAGGTGTCCCAGAGGACACACAGGACCAGGGTGGACGGTCAGAGGGAAGGTGGGATGGCAGTTTTGACAGAGTCCTCCCCCAGGCTCAGCTGTACTGGGAACTCCAGAACGCTTGTTGGGCCTCGTCACAGAGCACTCATGTGACCTGTGGGAAGAACGAGGTCCAAGTCTGAGCAGGGCTGCAGGGAGATGGGTCCTCCTAACTGCTCCAAGTGTAGGATTAGCTTAGACCCCATTACCTGAGTCTCTAAAATGGCCTTTTCTATAGAAGAAAAAGTCAGCTTATCTTGCTTTTCTTCTTCCAGGATTTGTTTCCTGGTCATGTCCTCATCCTACCTTGCATTTCGTATCTCCCAGCTGGAACAGCAGATATGCTCCTTGAACTGGGACGGCTCAACCCCTGGGCACAGGTGAGGCCCTTTATCTTCCAAATGTTTCTGGAATTGAGTGTGAGAACAGGAGCCAAACCTAAGGCCATGTTATGTGTTACTCCAGGTGAACTTGACCTCCTCTAGCTAAGCTGGTTTGATGGACCAGAGCAAGACTGAGCTGTGCACACAGAATGCACAGATCTCACTTGGCTCTTTTTGGGGGAGAAGGGTTTCCTGGGCCCTTAGGATCATGTTTGTCTCCCCTCCGGGCTTGTCTTCTGATGTAGGCATTTCTCCTGTGTGCAGGTAACAGCTGCTTGGCCTCTGTTCCCTTTCTACTCCAAGAAGAATCCTCTGGGTGCTAAGGCTCCACCACCATCTCCTTGGTTTATGCGGCTGCTGTGCTGAAACCCAATATGAAGGAGAACTTTCCAGATCCTTTCTCCTCCTCTCAGCTCTTCTCCCTCCTCCTCTGAGTGATCTGAAGTACCTGTTTACAAAGGAACTGGCTCCTAGAATTTTTGGATTTGAACAAATCACCAAGATTTTGGAACCAGCTGTGGGATTCTGTACCCTGAGCTTCAGCAACCGCTTAAATGGGGAAGAACCTGCTTCTTAGAAACAGTTCTGGCACACAGGCAGAACTGGTCAGGATGTGGGGGTGTCTAAAGGCCAAAGGGGAGTGAGGTTCCCTGTCGTGTTCCTCACTCATTGAAGGGGCCAGAGAATATACACCAGCTGAGGGGCTCTGCTTCTTCCCAGAACAGAGTTCTCTCATGTGGACCTCTGAAAGCCCCTCTTCTGGGCCTCAAAGGGCTTCTCTGCAGGGAGCCAGACACTTATCCAACCAAAGGGCAGAGGTCCACTGGGGTTGACTGGATGGAGGTGGAAGACAAGCTGTGAATGGGAGAGGAGGGCCTGTGGCCAGGACTACAGTGAGAGGATCTCCATGCTCTGAGCTGAGGCTCTGTGCTGGTCCTTCAAGAAGAGGCTGGCTGAACCCAGAGACACTGGCCACAGCAAGGGCTCGTGGCTGGAGCTGAGAAGAATGAGAGGTCCTAGAACTCTGTGTCCTTGGCGACCACTGCCTGGGATACAGGTGGAGCAGAGCCTTTGATCACTGTGACCAAGCCCTTGCCCTGCTGGGCACAAACATTCCCACGGTGCCCAGGGCCCTGGAAGTTGGGTATGGGAAGGGTGGGAGGGCTGGGGGACTTGCTTTGAAAGTTTGTTTTGTACTCTCTGCCTGACTGCCCAGACCTCAGGCATGGCCAACAGCCGCCTGTTGGCAAAATTTGTCAGGACCACTTTGCTTGATGGTGCTCGGCCACTAAGGGAAGAGTTCTACATGTCACCTGTGGTCAGTGCATTGCAGACCATGGAGGAGGGTCTTCATTGCATGGGCTTTGTTTTTCATGACTAAGTTGGAGGTGTCTGAGGTGGGCCTGGTACAGTACAGGGACAAGGTCACAGGGCTTATGTGTGACACTCCTGGAAATGGGTGAAGATGAGAAGGCCTTGCCTTGGAGAGTTCTCTCTGTCCAAGCCTTCTGGAGTGTCTCTGACAGTTTCTCTGTGCTCTGGAACTGTGGTCTACTCTCCTGAACGTCATCTGTCAAGATAGTGCCTTGAGAGAGTTAGGAAAAGCCTTAATGAGGAGGCCCAGAGATATTAGTGAAAGTCACTAATGGTAAAGAGAGTGAGATTAAAAGTAGCCACTCTTTTTTCCCCATTCAGACACTTGAGAGGTTGATCAGGAAGAAATCCATGTGAGATTATTCCAGAGCCTTGGTTGTGTCTTGTTTGTGACAAATCCAAGTGAGGGATGGAGGGAAATAGGTGACATTCCCTGAGCTCAGACTAGAGTCTGTCATTTTCCCCATCCCACATTCTAGGGTTAAGTTTAGGGCCTGGTTTTGTGGGCTACTTTTACCAAATCTGTGTCATGTCAGGTGAAACTTACTGTTATTCTCCACAGGGACACTGGATGGATGACCATCCTTTTAACTGGAGTCAGCCCTCTCCATCAATCTTTTATATTTTCAGGGAAATACTCCTTCTTGCCTCAGGACCTCCCCTCCCTGGTCCTTGCTGAAGAGCGTGGAGTACAGATCTGTTCTCTAAGTCTTTCTGGCTGAGCCAGAGGCCAAGCCATCATCGTTGGATGGCCAAGATTAATGTGGTCTCAGTACAAGAAGCTTGCTGTAGGATAGATGCTTTTTGGAGACCACTTGGGATCCCTTGCTCTGAGTGGTGTGGGTATGTCTGTCCCTCTGAAAAAAACCCCAACCTTTTTTGTCCCTTAGCCTGATCCTCTTGGGGGCCAAGGTTGTTCCTGTTGTCCCCATTTACAACTATTTGTATTTATACATACATACTTGTTCTCTAATTCCCTGAATTTAAGTTGCTCCACTATGACATTAGCTATTGAATATATTTTTAAATACATTTTTAAAAATATGATTTTTCTAGTGAATTCATTTCTGTCTTCTGACTTCTTACTGACGGTACACTTTCTGACATATTTGATGCCACGGAGACTGACCGAGCCCTAAGTGATTCCCAGAATCTTAAGTACTCTGCAAATCTCAAAGGACCTTGGCTGAACCAGCTTACACATCAGGCTTATGGGTGAGGGTGATTGCTTCAGCAGATCATCACAATCTTCCGTTTCTGTTGAATGGATACTGGGAATGCTTCCATATTTCTCCCAGGCAACTTCAAAGAAATCTCCATGATTCAAATAGTACTGTGCTTCAGATTCGGGAATTAAAATCAGGAACTCAGGGCTAGGGTGGTCTTTCGATGACTCATAGAATCTAGGTGGGCAAGTTAAAATCTGATTTAGGTCATTCTACTTTTCTACTTTCCCACAGGATAGCCTCCTCTAACAGTGATTCATTCATTCATTCAAAATACTGAGCCTACACTCTGCCAGGTACTATGCTCGTCACTGTGGACATACCAATGAACATGGCAGAGGCCGTATCTTCCTTGTCACTGAATTTACATTCTCTGTGAATGCAGTCAATAGGTAAACATGTAAACAAACAAGTTAATTGCTAATGTGATCAAGTTTTATGAAGGGAAGACATTAAACTCAGGGAGATGGTTCTAGATACTCATTGCTGCTGAACTGATCCCACCTTGGAACGACCCTGTAGGACAGAGCAGAACTGCCCCACAGAGTTTTGAAGGCCGTAATTGTTACGCAACTGCCGCATCTTCTGAGAAATTGGCTGGTGGTTTTAAATCGCTGACCTTTTGGTTAGCAGCCAAATATTTAACAACTACTTCACTTGGGCTCCTCCATGGCTCTAGATGAGTGGTCAAAAGAAGTCTCTCAGATGACACTGAAGCTAATGCTTCAGGGATAGGGAGCCAGCCATGGGAGGGGCTGGGAGAAGAGCATTCAAGGGAGAGGGTTTACTAGCATGGAGTATACGAGGCCTGATCTAAGTCATGGTATTCTGGGTGACTAGCTGTGCATCTGAGAGTTGTACAGTGAATAAAATTAACAGAAGAAGAATAGATGTTATGGTGTGGAGAAGAGCACTAAATATCCCATGGATTGCCAAGAGAACAAACAAATTTGTCTTGGAGAGTGTGCAACAGGGATGCTCCTTAGAGGGAAGGGTAGTGAAACTTTGTCTCGCATCCTTTGGGCATGTTGTAAGGAGGGGCTAGTCCTTGGAGAATGATGTCATGTTTGGAAAAGTCCTGGAGGGTCAGCAAAGGAGGGGAAGACCCTCAGTAAGGTGGGCTGACACAGTGATCATAACAGACGATGAGGATGGCACAGAATAGAGCAGAGAAATGTCCACACATGTGATTAACTGCCTCTGGGAACCTGCTGAAGGGTCAGCTATGAGTCAGTTCTGACTTGATGCTACCCAACAGCAATCACAACAAGGTCATGATTAGTCATACACGATTCAATATACCTAACAACAACAGGTAAAAGGATCAGCAACTGGAAATGCTCAAAGGAGGAGAGAACATATGTCTCTGAGGAACGGAAAGATAGTCTGGGAGACTCTAGGATACAGATCAAATACGAGAGAGACATGAAAAGAGGCTGCAGAGGTGGGCAGGAAAAAGGAGCTTAGATTTTATATCTTTGAATATTTTAACTCAGAGCCTAAAGTGTGGGAATGGCAGGGTTGATGGCTGTTTACTGTAATCAAGAACTTTCCTGTGTCAAGAAGAAACATTTTGATGAACTTTACAGGAAGACATGACCAAAAATTTACAGACTTCAAGAAATCCAGATGATAAAAAATGTTTAAAATACACTCACGTCTCACTGTCCCTAGAAAGTGGTCTGCAGCAGCAGTTATCACAGAGAGGACACATAATCATGCATTTATAATTTTTTAAGTGGAAACGAGCTTTTTTCATAAGGAAAATAAACTGCCTTAAGTTTGAAGAAACAAAAGGGGGTCTACAGATACCTCTTGATTTTCTAAACTTCTGTGTGTATGTACAGCGTTAGAGTGTCAGTTCTGCAACACAGGCCTTCAATGTTAAAGAGAGGCAGGAGTTCTAGTGAAAAGAGGACCAAGGACTGTGAGGAACTCTGCAAGAATACCAAGAATATCATCCCACTGTGCAGTTCTCAGATTTAAGAAACTGCCTCCACCATTCCCTCTCCCAGCATGGCCCTCCTACCTGGTAGCCACGGAATGAGGAGAACTACCACAGTGGATGAGGCCTTGAAGGTTGGGTTGCTCTCTCCTAACTGCTAGGCCACAGATGAGGGAGTCTTAGGGCAGAGAAACTTCTCAGAGGACTGCCTGTTTTGCCTTATGGTTGGTCTTAGGCTTGAAGATCGTTAGGCTTGAACTAAGGTTTATTAGAAGGGAAGTCATTCAAAACTCTGCCATCAATTAGATTCTTTCTGACTCATAGTTTACCCTTCATCGAGTTTCCAAGCCTGTAAATGTGTCCATTTTTCTCCTGAGCAACTTCTCATGGATTAGAACCAAAGGAAGCTTTATTCGCTAACGGTGAAAGGACATCAAATGGCCTGCTAGGTGGCAG